GGGGGGGCCGCCGCGGCCCCCGGGGAGCCGCTGAGCAACAAGGTGCTGGGCACGGGGCTGAGCAGATAGAGGCTCGGCAGCACCCTGTGCCCCCCCGGCATCATCTTCCCTCCTCCAGAGCACACCTCCCGCATGCTCCAGACCTGCCCCATCCCGTAGAGACGTCACTGCCGCCACCTTTGCCACCTTCGAGGGAAACCACTATCCACACACTATGGTTCTGAGCTAACATTTACACCCTAGCGCTGCCATGGTACGGCTTTGCTTCCACCTTCAGCTTCCTGAACCAAACTGGGGCCCCCTCCCCGCAAGACGCCCTGCGCACCATGGGAAGGCAGATCCTACGGGATCTCTTCCCAGGTGGGCAGGAAACCTCCAGCTACTAAAGAAAGGGGTACGGGACCAAATTAGCCTGCATCGCAGCATTCTTGTACTCCTGCATCCAACCTCAAGCTAAGCAGCTCCCTCCTCCCTCCGAGACCCCCGTTCCCCTGCACGGCAGCCGCTGGGAGCTCACTGGGGAGCACCACGGCCCTTCGTGCAGGACCTGTGCACCCCGCCAGCCCCTTCTCTGCCCTGGAGCGCGAGGGGTACAACCCACCTCTGGAACCACTAATGCCCCTGCTCCTGCAGCTCCCGTGGCCGGAGGGGATCCCCGGCACTGCAGGCCAGCCCTGGGCAACACTGCAACGGAGCCAGCCCAGGATGGGCAACAGCGCTGGGGGAACCACTAAAAGATGTCCCCAGGGGAGGTCCCCATCCCAGCTGCAGGGGAGCGTGGAAGGGAGCCGGGTGCCCTGCCAGGTTCAGGGAGCTGAAGCAACGTGCCAGGGTGGAGCTGGCTGCCCTGGCAGCCTGCCCCAGCTGGTGCCATGCCTGTGTTGCGCAGAGCCTTGTGTAGATGTTTCTGTTCTTGCAATAAAGATATTAAACAAAGAGGAGGTCTCCAGCCTGTGACTGTCGTGCAAGGTGGGCTGCGTCCGCTACCGGGAACAGTGTAGGAATAAGGCGCTTGGAAAGGCCGAGTTCTGCACATTTGGATATTTATTAGATTTCCATGCAAACAGGAAAACTCTTTGAAAGGTTTGGTAGAAACGGAGAGCTGGCTGTTGAGCAGGGAGACCTCCATCCCAGCTCCTGAACGCACGGCACGCATTCGCTCCAGCTCCCAAGGATCCCGAGACCAGCAGGATGCCTTTGCGCCCAGAAGCGTGGGCAGAGAACAGCCCCGGTGCTCATCGCTTCTGTTTTGGATCATCACCGTCGTGCTGCCACAGCAC